AGGTAAAATGCCAATAATTCTTGTTTCTAATAATAATTTCCTATTTAGTAAGAACCAGTTAATTTATTCAGAATGAATGACAATACCTACTGACTACAATTTAATGGACGCTTGCTTCACCTATGTCTGGACGTACGTCACTCTGGCACAGGGCAACGACACTAAGTACTCCAGGGGTCAACAACCACTGGATCAGGAACCAAGACTGACCGTAAGATTGTATGTTTATTATGTACACATTTGTTCTCTAAATATACATGTATGTATGTCCATTAACGCTTTTGTCAAGTGCGGGTTAGTGAACTTTTTTTTTTATACCTAGGGGAATACCATAACAGCCACGTTTCACGCCCAGGGTGGAACAGGACGAAGTGTCTGATTCTTACTGGCTAAAGACAAAAGTCAAAAATCATTTAAATATTTCAAATAAAACAACGTCAAACAAAAATTTAAAGATATAAAGTGTCTCTTACTGTCGGTCAGTCGTCTTAGTGAAGCTATTTGCTATTTGCTCGTTCCAAAGCTCGTTTCGGCGGATAAGCCTTTGACTGCCGACAGAAAACTGTTGAAGGTAAATCCTCCGCTAACGGAGGTCACCGGTGACCCCCATGGCGCTTAACGTGATAAGAATGAGCAAGAAACTCCATGGTTACCCTTTTTAATCAGTTTCACATACAAATTCCTTGTACAAACAGTTAAAACAAATTAAGGACAATAAACAGTCCAGAGCTGACCAGTCCCAACTGACAGCGCCCGTTCACGAACATGACACATAGGGAATTAAGCGATCCAGCGCCAGTGCCACCGCCAGTGTGACATTTAATTGAGCATGACAACTCCAAGCTGACATAAGGACCAACATTCTGCTAGTCTAACCAATTGTAATAGGTTACAGGGCACTCACATTTACAAAATCAAGCTTGACAATATAATGCCATTTTACTAAATTTGAGAAGTGCCTATCAAGCAAAAATCCACTGGAAAATTATTTATTTTGGTGTAGTTATTATCCTGTGGAGACGGACCAGCGTGTCTCCAAGCATCACATAAAACTACCCTGTTCCATTTCCAGTCTCTTGACCCGCTACTCCGGTTGAACATTAGCCATAATGGGTCCTGGGCTGGTCTATAGGCTCTATAAGGCGATGGCGGAACGTTGCGCGCTGTACGCTCGGGTATGGTTTCAGAACCCAGCTGGGTTAATTAACCTAAAGCCTTTTGTATACCTATTAATTCTTCAACTTCCATTAACATCGTGAATCTGGTAGTACAAATACGACAGATACTGGCCATTTTTCCAAAAAATCTTCATTTCTGTAAACGTCATAATTCTGATAAGCCTAAGCTACTGCCAATCTACAAAACCGCACTGGTGTTGTGAATGCCCATTATCATCATCACTATTCTTTATGTACCTATTTCTAAACGAAGGTAAATTCGTACATTCACGCATTAAGCCCCTCTCTTCATAGAGAAGTCTTGCTTGCTCAAGTTAATTAGAGAATTACAATTTCAGGTTCTCTCAAGATATCTTCTTTCACAGTTTATAAGTGATGTTTAAGTTATATTTGACAGTATAGCAATAAAAGTCGGAAAAAGTAACGTTAGCAAGATACTTGTCAGGTTTTGAACCCTTTCCCTTGCTTCGGCACATTAGGCCGGCTTTACTGGAGTGACACCATAACCTCTAAGAAAATCGACGTGAAACAAAAACAGCGTTGTGTTTCGCCGTGAGGTGAGGTTACCAGATGCCTATTCTTTCCTTTCCCTCATCCCTACCCAACCCCGAAGTCCCTAAACCCCTGAGTTTTCTGATGTTGCGGGTGTCCATGGGCAGTGCCAATCTATCTCTGACGATCGCTGTAGTAAAATAATTCGTTACTTATACCTACTAGGATTATATCATGTACAGAAACAGATTATGTGCACTAGGTAGGTACCCACTACGGAAACTACAATGGCTGTTTATAATCCGCATTGTTTTTATGATCTCCTTTTGTTTTCAATTTCATAACCTGACCAACTACGTAATTCAAAAGAAAACATTAGTACGTTTAATAATGAGAGTTTTCTAACAATTCTACGATAATCATAATAATTATTATTTAATTTTGTAACTGCTTAACTCTTGCTTTCTCACTTTACTGTTCCGTTTTGTACTGAATAATTAAGGAGTTTGTAAGTAATAGCGAAGTTTCGTCGTATTTTGTCAAGAATTTAAAAACGTAGTGCAGATCATCTTCGGGGTAGGTACAAAAGCCTTGATCAATTCCAAAATAGTACGCAGTGCAGGTCATCTTCGGGGTTGCAGATGCAAGCGCATCAATGTACCACGGCCCCGGCTCAGATCAGGAGAAGGGACACGGTGGTTTTTAGTTAGTGAGAGTAAACTCCCTGTCTCAACTTATAGAGCGGGAAAAGTCATTTGATTTCTTCTTACCCCTTAAAAGAAAGAGTGCCAAACATACACCTTAAATAAGTACCTACATCGACTTTTGGCTGTAAATTAATTATTAAGCTCAATTTATTAAAACTGTATTTTCCGTAGTTTTTTTTAATAGCACAAGCAAACAACGCTCATTTCCCTAATAGTAAGCAATCGATCACCCATGAAATCCAACAACACACCAAAGGAGTTACGAGCCGGCCTTTTATGGGTTGATAGGGATTTGGTTTTGGTTGGAGGGAGAAGAATTAAGCCTTCAGCAACCCCCGGTTGCTTCACACGGGTATTCTGTAACTCCAGTAGTAAAACGAACTTAGAAGCCATAGCTTAACTGGTGAACTTATGACCTTTAAAAGACCGCTAACTTATGACCGAGATCAATAACTTACATTAATGGTTAATCTCTTGATTGATCTCACTTGACTAATGCTTAACTAATGATAACATCGCTCCCAATCAAAAGATCGATCCGACGACATCAATTTTAGATTTCAAGCCTTTTTTTTTTTGTTTACGGGGAGAACCCTTCAAAAGTCCTATCTTTTGGGGAAAAAGACTAGGGAGTATGGGATTTTTACCCCACTAAAACCTCCAAGGTGGCTACCATTAACACCTACTCGTATAAGGGATACCGAGACCTCTTGATAGACCAACTCTAGAGACTCTTTGGTGCAACGCCTGTTATGGCACATCTCTATTGAGAGGTACGTGACCTCTTTAAGCCTCACTGTGCACGGTGCCACGTGACCAATGTGCCACCGTCTTCCCTAGTACACATTTTTTGCAAATTATACAAAAATCAATGATTATTTATGCATATGTAGATCAGCCGCAGATCAACGGAGTATTAAAGGATAAATAACAAACTGTCATTATTAATATTACTTTTTCTCGGTATTAACATGGACTTTAGCTGGTTAATGGGGTCGCATTATCAATAATATAATCAACGTATACCTACGCGTAGTACAGTAAGTCATTGATTCCTCTTACACATGCCACAGTTCTAATTTCAGAAGAAGTTATTTTGAGCGTGTTTTGAGAACCGGAGATTGGTCCAATTTGCCTGTATTGTGTAGGTAATAGTATGTACTTAATGCCTTTTGTGATGCTCCAAGCTATAGATTGATTGGATATATTTGTAGCGTTATTTATGAGAGGAATAAAATATAATATACGTATGTACATATCTCTATTTTTTGTGACACCAGTAAAGATGAAAGGCCAGATATTGTCAAGGGCCTAAAGCTCACTCTTAGAGGAGTATTAAAATTGGTCAAGAGGTGGCTTATGTAACGTGCTCCACTCATACTGGGAATGTATCTAAAATATTCCAGGGGCTTGTTAAAGACACATGTTATGTTTTGCATGACAGTCGTACTCTTTTCTAAGTAAAGTACAAGAACTAAGAAGTAATAACAATTTTAAAGATTATTTAGATACATAATGTGCAAAAAGTATAAAGTTTACCAAATTTGTTCAAATTTCTACATAGATATAAGTATGTCCAAGTTACGATACCAAACGTCCAAACGGCTTGAAGCTATTTTTCCTTGACTTCCGTGTTACTCAAACCGCCTGGGGCGTATTTTCTTTGGAATCAATTGAAAGTACAAACCAAGGTTTGAAGGCCTTCGATCGAATCATTAATATTATTATTCGTATTCCTGTTATATAACCCTAGTGTATAATTGTAGGTAGATAGGTATGTATGTATGTATGGGTAAATCATTTATTTATTATACATAATACTTGTATCAAGTATTAGACAGCACATTAAAAACTTAATTGACAATAAGTTATAAAAATTTTTTTTTTTGGATATGTTCCCAAAAAAACTTTTACACTAGTTTTGAGCATGGACTATTATCTAAGACATGTTTATTTTAAAATATTACTTACATATTTTTCGGTAGGACCTTTCCTATACAATAAACTGAATGTAACTTTATCCTTTTACTCCTACAATCTCCATACCTGTAAAAAAATCCTCATCGAAGCACTTCAAGACATGTCCTATGAAGACACAGAGAAGTTATTATTAGTTCCTAAATAACTGTGGTAAAGGTTTTTATTTTTATTTTTATATTTTTGTTTTAATTATTATTAAATAAACATAGACATAGAGTTTAAGTATCGTTTTATCCTGGTATTTTTAATTTCCTTAGTTTAAAAACACTTATGTACTTATGATTATTTAACAATGTATAATATCTTTTTACCCATTTTCGCCTGAAACACAGGTTGTCCTAGTTCAGGCACCCCATATTATGAACTTGGTATAGTTTTAAGCAAAACCGTATATTCTAGATTATGTGTTCTTCAATAAATTTTATTTATTAAAAAAAAATATATATACAATGATGGTACTTAGTAGAAGGTAGAATGACGCTGCCATTTATTTTACTATTTGTAAAGCCGATGTAATTAGAAATGGCAGCATATCCTTCGAAGCATTCACATAATACGAATAAGAGCGGGTACAAGTGAGGGGTCGTGAAATACAAAATACACAAAACATTTTTGTTAAAAAACTGTATTGTCAAAACAAAATTTAAAATGAAGATTTCCCAGAACTGGTGCTTTGTGAGTCTGAAAGAAAAAAAACACTGTGAGAGATTGTCTTTTCTAATCTTAGTTCGAATTTTAAATACTTATTGTATTGTATGAGAATGTTTTTAACACACTAGTATTTAAATGTATGTATATAACTTAATAAAAAAATATATTACGTGTATAATTATCAAAGTTAATTCATTTGTCGTTTATTATTCATATTATTATCTGTCTGTATCAAAATATATACTTAAGTAATTCAAGTTGAGTAAATGGCCAAAGCAGGTCAATGGTTTCCTTTAAAATATATATGTATTTATATTAGAGCAACAATGCAAAAAAGTTTTTTATAAACATCACATACTTATATTCTTATTGAAAACTTTACAGAGACCCAACTTTTTCAAAATTTCATAATTATATTACTACAATGAACGGTAGGACAAATGTCAATGAAAACTCGAAGGATGTTTTGTAATAAAAGTTAAGGGGATAATAACTTTTAATGAAAAAAAGGGATGAAAAGTTATCGACAAATATACATATATATATATATTTGTCGATAACGAAAACAATACATACACAATATATATATATATATATATATTTATAAAATCTCTCACTCTACTGAATTTCAATTTAGAATCTCATTTGATCGCTCCTTTGTTGGGATTGTTTTGATGAGAAACCTTGATAACTTTTAAATATTAACTACTAGATTCTCTCGCGTGGTTTCACCCGCTGCTGGGCTTGATTTAATCGTAGCGTGATGTTTTAAAGCCTATAGCACTCAGGAACATATTGTAGCTATCTATCAGTGAAAGAATTTTGGCAATCCGACCAGCGGTTCCAAATATTACCCCCTACATACAAACTTACAAATTTTACCTCTTTATAAGTATAGAATTATAGATAAATCAAATGGTAGCTGTGGTGGCTGGGCAATAGGCCGCTACGCAACGTGTAGAGGTTTCGATTCCCCCACGTAGCAAGTCTCGTCATCCATTAATGTTTGTACCGGGTCTGGGTGTCATATGTATGTGAAATCGTATGTTTGTAAACGCACCCACGACGCAGGAGAAAGTCCTATTACGGGGCACCGTTTATTATATTCACTAAATTATTATGCATGTTTAAAAACTTTTAAATTCCAATCTTTTCGAACCAACCTCATTTGTAAATATGGTTGAATGCGGTGCAATGAATGTTTCAAATCAAATTCATTGCACGGAAACATTTTATTGGTTACTGTGCCACAGTGCGAGTACTGTTACCATGTTGAAATTCTCCATAGTAACCAGAAGACTCGATTGTGCCCGATGTTAGGTGATAGCCTCACTTTATGTATACTAATATTTTAAGAGGTAAAATTTGTAAGTTTGCATGTAGGGGGTAGTCTTTGGAACCACTGGTCGGATTTCCAAAATTCTTTCACTGATAGATAGCTAAAATATTCCTGAGTGCTGAAACATCACGCTACGATTAAATGGAGTCAAGCAGCGGGTAAAACCGCGCGAGAATAGCTAGTACATTATATGTATATACAATAATATACATACATATATTTCTAAGAAAATTTGTATCTAATCATAAAGATATGTAATATTCAACCACGCATATTACTTTTCTAAATAAGGAAGTAAATTAAAAAAAGCTGTAAGTAATTTTGAATATTTTCATTTCTTTTTTCGAGGATCGGCCAAAAGAGGTTATCCGTTATCCATCTGCAAGGCCACTCAATTATTTTTTAAGTCTTTTTTTCATGTGTATACACCTCATCATCACCAGCATATAAGTGCCCACTGCTGAGCAAAGGCCACTTCCCATACAGAGAAGGTTTGAGCATTCACCACCACGCTTGCTCAAGGCGGATTGGCGATTTCAAACTCATAATTAGAAAAATAAGTCCAGGTTACCTCACGATGTTTTCGTTCATCGTATATCAGTGGTGTCCAAATAATCATAGAAAGTACATATGTACTTACAATTTGGAAAAAAGTCACATTGGTACCTATACCTAATTATTGCTTTATGCTTACCTAAAACTAAATCCGGACAGTATTTTATGGTGTGGGCTTGATCGCCAGTGGCGCCGCAGCGAGGGCAGTGATACCTTCGCAGGATTGGACACAGGACACGACCGCGAATATCCTTCAAAGCGTGAGATGTGTACCAATCTGATGACTTCCCGTTGTTTTTACAAAATGCGCACTCCTGTATAATAAAGATACATAATATCATCGTCTTGGAAGGTGTAGATTTTGTAAACTCTTTCTTGACTCGTCGGATGAATCCGCTGTTTGCTCGCCTACAATAATAATAGTAGCGGGAAAACGCAGCTATACGCTACGAACTACGAGCTACGCGCTACGCGCTACGAACTTTGTGCTATGAGCTACGTTTGTACTATTGCACTGCTATTAAAGTGTAAAGTTTGGGCAGTTATTAGAGCATACCAAATATTTTTGTGTGATCATCCTCTGTCTGCGGAGGACATCAGCATATTTCATCAGGAGTTCCAGTTGTTGAGGTGTTAAAGATAGGAGTGCTGCTTCCTGTTGCTTTACCATATTTTCAAAAGATTTCTCTGTTGAGCACTGCGATGGTGTCGGCTCCGGTTTCGGCGGCTTGACAACTGAAAAATTAATTTGAATTTATTTTGTAAGTACACAAAAAATATTTACTACTACAATTTCAACCGCTTTCATTATGTATTTTATTAGGTGCAGTGGCAAATGTGACATCTGATAGTAAGCAATCGGCACCCTCCATAGGCGCTCGCTGTACCAGTGGAGTTACAGGTCCGTTTGTGGCCTTTTGGCTAAGTTAGGGGTTTTAAGTATTGAGTATTTGAGGATGGAGGATGGAGGATAGGGCGAGTGGTATTGTGGTAACCTCAATATACGGTGAAATACAGCACAATTTCCTCCAATCATGAAAAATTATTGCTTATTATTCCCTCTTCTGTTATATCTTTATATGAATCATCCTGTTAAGATTTCAATATGGCATATCACATTTTAAAATTGTATCAAAGTTGATATATAGTTATAATATAGTATCAACTATCCATAGACATCTTCTATGCTACCCATAGATATGATGCGGAAATCGGACATCAACCAATTGAAATATTTTAAAGGGCAACTTCATTAAATACGCCATTTTGTTTTTTTTATTATGGTATTTTTGTATATCTGTATGTGTTATTGTAATTATTATTCCTATTTTTTGTATTAATGACGTCAGCAGTATCACAAATAATATCAAACGTTTTATGTACAAGTGGAGTTTTGTGGTGTTTAAAGGAGTCAATCAGAATTCAGACCAAAATTCTATGATATTAACTATTCTAAGGAGAAAAACCATTGTCAACAAGCGCTTAGTTACTGGTTAGACTTAATATTTTAACTACACGGATAAAAATCGCATTCTTCTGTTTCGTATTGCATTCTTGAGCAATCCCCAAAGCTACTAGCTAGGATCTGTTCTAGACAATATTCATTACTAATTTAGTGATTAATTGCCTTAAAAACCATTTTTTTCTAATACGGCAATAAACAATCCGAGATCCATGAAAAATTACCGACAGCGGTTTTGTATCAATCTTAAACTTATTCTCATATTACTTTGTTTAGTATTAAGTAAGTAGTAGTATTAAGTAAGTAGTTTCATTTTGACGTCACAAGTCACAGTGTAACATACGACTTTGATTGGTCGATAATGTTTTTATTTCTAATCGATTTTCCGCCTTCAGCCAATATTGCATAACAATGAAAAGTCTGTTTTTCAAGAGTTTATTGTAACGATAATATTAAAATTTTCTATAGGAAAGTTATCGAAATAAATCATTTATTAATCCTATTTACCTATTCAGTTATAAATTAATCCTAAATCTTATATATAAAAATGGATCCCAAAATGTGTTGATAACTCAACAACGCCTGGGTCAATTTCACTAAATATTTTTTTGTTGTGTTTATTATTTTCAGGAGAAGGTTCTTATCAAAGAAAATATTAGAAAAATAGAGGGGAAGATAAGAAAAAGTGACCCTTTGATAGCGAGACAGTTGGACCCGTGCAAAGCGTGGGCAGGCCGCTAGTCTATAATATAAAAATGAATCGCGAAAAGTGTTGGTATGGTAAGCGCATAACTCAATAACGCCTGGACCAATATTGCCAATTCTTTTTTTATAATGTTTTTATTGTAAGGATAAGGTTCTTACGAAAGTAAACTTTAGAAAAGTAAAGGGGAATAGCGGGAATTAACAATGCTTCCGGTGCCGTGGGCGCTCGCTTGCAAAACAAATGACTCGGGGTAGTCGGGTACCCGTGCGAAGCAGGGGCGGTCAGCTAGTTATTTTAGTAAAACTGTATATCATAAACTCATAAAATATGGGAGCAAAGAGTTATCAACCATTAATTCTGGTTGAATATTGTATCCACAGCTTTTTATTGTCAGCTTCAAGTATATGTAATCAACATGAGAATTATCTACGATAATTATATACTAATGAAGACAACTAAAATTTCGTTTATTAAAAAAATTAGATCTGAAACTGCAATACTGCATTATAATAATCGCATGGGTAGTAACTATTTGAAACAGAATTTTGTCATAATTAAGCCCCATATAAAATGTGTCGAAAAGTCACTTATAATTAACATAAATTATACTGGTGTTAACGCGAAAATAATTATCTAAATACTTTGGTAGGCTTTTTTTTGTGAGGGGAAAATCATCAAATGACTTCTCCCGCCCAGGGCCAAGCAGGAGGGAGTGTCAGACTCTTACTGACTAAAAACCCCCTTTCCTTCTCCTGCTCTGGGCCGAAGTCGCGGTGCTTCATTGCCGTTACCCCGCAACCCCAGCTGAACATCAGCCCTATAGGGTCCCGTCTGTGGTGGTCTATTGGCTCTTTGAGCTGCCCTTACTCGCCGACCGCAGACCCACGCTTACGGTAGCCGAGGATCGTCCCTTGATCCCCGACGTGTGACGCGATAGTGTCGCCTGTTGCGGCGGTTGGGGCGTGAGGAAGAGGATTGCTCCCTCACGCGGGCCGCCTCCCTCTTTGCGAGCATAACTGCTTCACAGAAGGAGGAGACGGCGTCCCAGTTCCTCTCACTCCGCACCATGGCCTCGACTAAGGCCGGGCGCGAGAGGTCGCCGCCGCCGATCACTTCCCTGAGGATACGGCGCTGCTCAGCCCAGGCAGGGCATACCGCTACCGTATGCTCCACCGTATTCTCTAAGTGGTACTCAAATCAATAAAAATGGAATAATAAATTGAATTGAGAGTGGCCGTTAGATATTCGTTTAAATAAAGAAAAGTAAGATATTGATTTAGACAAGATACCGACATCTTGAATACGAAATTAATTTCATATCATGATAACTATCTATCCGACATTAAGAAAAATATTTTTTGTTTCTTAGTGAAAACCAGTTCAAACAGGACTTAGTACAGTCTTAGCAGCATTTAAAAAAAAAATCTCTCTTCTATAAAAATAATTTAATATTTTGATGAATGAATATTGATTTTCGAAATGAAAACGTTGGCTCTCGAACGTAGTTGTGCGGGTTCAGTAAAATTTTTGACACAAACATTATTTGACCTCCGATTTTGTTTCGGCATTTCTCCTCACAGTATTCAGATAGTAAATTTCTAGATCTACTTCAAGATATTTAAAGTAAAATTTTGATATGATATGTGCAAATAGGCCTTAATTGTTTTGTTGTTATTTCACATTTTTTTATTAACGTCTTTTACGTGATAGCGTGCAAACAAGCAGGAATTTGACTTTTTCTTCTTGTGAGGGGAAAATCAACAAATGACTTCTTACGCGCATAGTGTCAGACTCTTAAAGACTAAAAACGTTCTTTATTTCTCCTACTTTAGGCCTAGGCCGTGGTGACAAACACAAGACTCATTAACATGAAGTAATGCCTGCTATGGCAAACAGTCTATGTAAAAACTTCTAATTAACGTATATATGCAAGTTGTAGTAACTTTTTTATTCTTAACTGTACAAAATATTTCACTGTAAAAATGTAAACTTATTTACGGACGCTGGTTAGTGTTTATTACCCTTAATTTAAACGGTTTCTTTTTTATAAGTATATTAAGATAAAGAATGATATAGTGTCACTATTCTTTAATTCTGACTTCTGATACTATCGCTTTCATGAATAATAATGGAGTCATTTCATAACTATGCATCAAATATTTGTTTGCAAAATCATCCAAAAAATACCTAATATAAAATCATCTTTTACGATATCTTTTCATAAATAACGAAAGTCGACTAATTTACCAAACTTAATGCACATACTTTAGATAAAAGACAAATAAAAAATAAAATTCTAAATTAAAACTAAATACCTATTAGCGTAGTCTATGGCCCAACGTTGCTTGCAAAAGAAAAAAAGCGTCTAATTTTTTTTCTTATGTCAAACTTGGAATTCAATTATTTTTTAAGAAGTTCGATTTTTAAAATTATTCAGTTTAACAGAAGTAAAATTACATACTAATATATTGTGCCAATAATAATGCGTTATTTTGGTTCATGGGAAACCCCCCACACTTTCCTTTTGCCCATAATAACGATAAACATGCTATTTGTTACCTATCGATACTTTATTATTGGAATACAACCCTTGCCTACAAATAAGACAATATATTTATGTGCAATCTAGAAACAACCTTGTTCCTAAACAAAGTGTAGGTACATTTTGTATTTCCCAACCAACATTGACTTGTGTTGTGTATGTAGGTAATGTACTTACTACTTTGACCAGAGCCGTATTATCCGTCAGGCGACCAGGGCACCACGGAGCATGCGCGAGTATAAATCATCATCATCATCATCATCAACCTAACTTCGTCCACAGCTGGACATAGGCCTCCCCAATTGCACGCCACTGAACTCGATGTTCAGCTCTTCTCATATAACCACTGCCAGCCACCCTGCGGATATCGTCAGTCCACCTAGCTGGAGGGTGCCCTACACGTTTGCCTAGACGTGGTCCACTATACGAGTATAAATATGAAATCATTGTTCTTCGTCACCAGCCTACAATTATCCACTGATCAGCAAACACCACGGACAAGGTTTCAAAGCTTCGGCACGAATGGGTCGGCTCGGCCGGAGTGGTACCAAGTTACCAAGGCCACATGTTGGGTTTCGCTAAGAGAGTGCGGTTATCGGAGGCACAATCCTTAAATCCCGAAATACCTAAAACACCATATCACCAAACGCACTTCCAACGCCTCTGGTGTCGCGGACGTCCATTGGCGGCGTCGATTACTCACCATTAGGTAATCCGTCGTCGGCTCGTTTACAGCCGTATCACATGATAAATAGCCAATCGTGGTCTAGTCTGATTTCTTCATTTATAACTAAAAATTTAAAGTCAAAAAATGTGTTCCAAAATTAATTCTAAATGTGTTCCTTTACCATATGTCAACAATGGTGTGTAATAAATAAAGAAAGTAAAAGTCGTTGTAGCCCGCTTTCGAAACCGAAATGTTCGGGCTACAACGACATACAATTACCCTTACTTTAATTTAAAAAGCAAGATCCTTTGTTTGACGTCACACTAGAGTATGGTATGATTTTTGTGTCAGAAAATAGTAAAGAGACTAGAAAAAGATGAAAGGTACTTTTCTATCCACGTGCTACTACATGAGCCATGCCACGGGTAAAAACTAGAAAGTACATTGCAATTTTTACCTTTATTAGTCTTAGAAACCGCTTCGGGCTTTGTATTCGCGGCATTGACAGTTCTGTCATTTGAATGCACCGTCACCTGTGCTTCTAGCACGGCAGGATCCAGTTTGACAGCTTCTAGAGCGTCTGCGGACAAAGCACCTTGAATCTATAATATTTGTAAGACCTTTTTGTAAGGAAGAAACCAATGAAATAATGCAATACTTAATGCTTTCTCAAGCCAAGCTAGAAATGACCTCGAGAATGGAGACTTAATTAAGTATCTAGATAAGATTACATAGAGATAATTTATGCTGCAGCAGTTAATCGCAAGGTCATTTTGTAAGCACTCATTAAAATAAAAGAATTTTATACTTTTCGAAGAACTTACCTTGGTTACTGTGATGGTTTCGGAGCGAGCCGCCATTTCCATCAAATAAGCCCTAAAAAAACATATTTAAAAACTGAATAATATAAATATAGGTGTTTAAAGACAACCAAATAAAAATATATAAGTGAAAAACATATTTCAAATTTCATAATTATTCTAACCGAATAACTTAGACAAGAATGTTTATATTTTAATTTTAAAACCTTATAACCTAAAGCTTTAGAAAGTTATTATAAAACTATTTTGAATATTTAGCTTACGTAATTTAGTGGTAAAATATTTTTAGGTTATACTAATAAAGGATCTCACCTACCTTAAGAAAACTTAAAGGCGAATTGCTCGAGCTTGAAGGAATAAATGATGTTACTTCCATATTTAAAATGTTAACTTCACGTGGATAAAACTAGTTGTTACAAGATTTAATTAAATATTGGACAACAGTCATTCACACTACTGTTTTAATATTGTAACGGCTTAAAGTAATTAGCAGTTAAATCTTTGTGAGCATAACATTATTTTATTTTTACATAAAAGGGTATTTATACAATCTATGCTAATGTTGCCAGTTTTTTTCATTTTTCATTCAGATAACACTGACTTGAAACAATATATTTTTATTCTACAAATAAAAACTTATTTAACGACGTTTGCTTAGGACATGAATTTGATTTTTAATCTTGCGTCGTGACTCACACATAATTATAACGTAATTAAAAAAGTAATAAAATAAAATAGACAATCTGTTGGTTTTATTTGCTTGACTGTCAATAGAAACACTTTAGAATATGACATTAATAATATTTAATTCCATAGACTTGCTTCCGTCGAATCGTTGACGATATGAATAGAATAATAAATTATGAATTCTACACCTTCATTGATCTCAGGAACCAAACTATCTTGGCAAACCGTTATTCGTCCGGATTTTTTTACCCTCGACGGAAAGGAGACCGTTTACTTACTTAGTCTATCGCATACAAAGGCACAAACAGATAAACGCGTAAAGGAACTTTTTTTTGATTAACATCATCAACAATCAACAAGACCAACAAACAGGTTGTATATAAAGCAATTAGCTCTGGTTGTGAGTCGAGTCTGTTTTAGAAAAATAAATAACAGGTATTTGCATCGGTAACTACAACGGCCTTGTGGAATATCTGGTTTGACCAGTCAACACGTCGTTGTTACGCTAAATTTAATTCTAAAATGGATTCAACCGAGCACAAATGTCTTTGGAGGCTTGATGTATCTTAATGTTATTATTTTTCTTAGTTTAATACTTACTATTATATTTTTACATAAGTATAAGGAAGTTGTGTGTCAATTATTATGAAATGGGTATATATTCTGCTGGACGTTCTTAATCTGATACAACACAATAAAATACCACTGCAACAGCTGCATAGTCAATGCTCAAGCGATGCACATGTTACACAAACAACGTCACGTCAATCTATCCCCAAAATATCACTTCAATACTTTTTCACCCTTATAACAGAATGATAAAGTTCAAAATCCTTTAAAGATGTAACAATTTGAGCATCCTGTAGTCTGGTACGTGTTCATGACGCAGCTGGCGTGGCTTGGCTCATGATATAACTCCGGTTCTTTTTATTGCACCTACGTTTCTATGACCGATAAGAACGTACGAACTTCGTACGCACACACATCTAGCGTTACGTTATATTATCGATGTAGTAGTAATACGTAGGTACACGATTACTTCTGTAAATCTAGTGCTTTCTGTTTCAAATGGAGATTTGGTGTCATTACGACGACCCTTTTTTCTGTCCTTGAGGTAATATTCTTTCGTCCTACCAATCTGCTTCCAGTTGGAGTTGGAATAAATACAATACATTTTCTAAGATAAAGACGATCGTATAACTGAACTGAAAACTTCTAGACAAAAGCCAGGTGTGTGGTGAAATATAGTTGAAGATAAATGAGTATGAAACAATGGAACATTGAAATTATTTTTGTATAAAACGGCACCTTTACAGGTCAAAATTGTATATAAAAAACTAGACGTAGCATATGTATGTATACAAGAGAATAGTTGTCGGTGACGCACTGTATTCTGTAGTCTCCCATGTGACAAATTTTGGCTCGTGTGGTGCAATCAAAGAAGAGTATAGGTTTCTTATGTAGTTATCAAATGTGAGTGTAAGTGCAATGGTGCACCGCGGCCACGGAGCAGAAGAAGGAACGGGATGACCGATGAAAGCAGAAGGGGAAGACATTTGTAGATGTTTCCAAAAAAAACATCATATATACGTTCCACTACAGCTGAAGATATCTAAAACTCGATTTTCATTTTTTACGTGCCCTTCACTAGGACTGTTTCCTGTGTTGTCGCCGCGTACACAGACCAATCAAAATACAAAACATACTCCGATACGGATCAACAATTTGCGGAACAGAGAAAGAGTTGTACCGTGAGGGAATTGACACGAAATTAAATCTTTGTCCCTTGAAGTCTAGGTTTACATATATAGGAGAACATAGCGATATACATATATGAGCACATAGCTCGACTGACGGACAATTTTTTTGGCCTTTCAAAATTTATTTATGTGCCTATATGGTTAAGGGCTTATTTTTCAATGGTTAGATAAAAGTTATCTGGGGAATAATTATATGCTGTCGCGTCAGAATATTTGTATAAGACAGTGACAGCAATAATTTTATTCCTCAGATGGAATATGTAATGATATTTTTTACCAATAATCCGTGAGTGAATCTGTGAACCTACATATATATGTATAAAGATACATGTAAGTATGCATACTTGTGCAAATCTATAAGTTTGAAACTATAGGCAACATCTGCGCAGTTGGCTAGTCTAATTAATGGTTTCTAAGAAGACTTTGGAAACATTATTACCCATTACCCAAACAGCGGAAAACTTTTATTCACTTTTCAAAAGACATAATCACATTTAACAATTTTCGTACCTACTACTTTAGTAATTAGGTAAGTATAAAATTCTCAGTAAAAGCACCACACTTTGTAAGGCAATAAGTTTATTCATACTAGTTTAATCCAACGATTTCGCCCGCAGTTACTGACGTCGGGATCCATACCAAATTTCATTTAGCTCCGTTTAGTAGTTTTTCATCCATCCATACTTACTTGTTTTCACGATTATAATGATGGATTAAATATCATATCATATTTTATAGGTAAGTATATACATACTATTTCTATATGGACGTCTTTTCAAGCTGTAATATTATTTATACCTTTAAGAAAAAAAACACTTAGGTTTATAAAATTACATAATGTAGTAATCCTTTATTTATCCGTCTTTTAATGTTTTATAAGTATGCCTAATGTAGATCGATGCTCCTTCAGCCCTTGTTTATGAATAATTAAAGACGCAAGACTGAATTTCTGCGAAGGCAGAAGTTGCTTGAATCATGAATAACATTTTTATTATATTGTTATATATAATTATATTGGGATTGGGAGAGCCATGCTTCGGCACGAATGGGTCGGCTCGACCGGAGTGATACCACGGCCTCACAGAAAACCGGCGTGAAACAACCACAGCCTTGTGTTTCGCCGTGTGAGTGAGGTTACCTGAGGCCCAATCCCTCCCTTTCGTCCCATCCCTTCCAAATCCTTAAATATCCAAAACCCTTATCCCTAAAAAGCCGGCAACGCATTTGTGACTCCTTTGGTGTTGTGGGTGTCCATGGGCGTCACTGATTACTTACCATCGGGTAATCCGTATACTCGTTTGCCGACCTATACCATAAAAACCATATAGGTACAGGCACTTTTGAAATGTCAAAATGGAACCATAGTCCGTCATTCTGTTCATCGTCAGTAAAGCAAGAAATTATAAAGAACATTTGCCTTCAGGGAAACCATTTAAAACCTTCAAATTAAGTTTAGGTACCTACTTACAATGATAATAAAAAAGATAAATTAAAAAATATAATTTGTATAATGTACCTACCTATATTATAAATATTTAAATAAATGATATCAATTAAACCAAATAAAAGTATACGACGCACACATTTATTTTGTATAGTTTTTTTGTTTAGTCGCCCACTTCCTTTCTCTTATCATGAACAGTGGTGTATGTAGGTAAGCGTATATATATAGGTATATACCTACTACGTATGTATGTATGTATACGTGTGAATACAAGGCCTTAAGTACGTGATAAGAAAACTTATTATAACAGATATCTTTTATTTTGAGTAGTTGCTATCTAACTTTTTGTGCTAGATATTTTTCTATTAGGGTAGGTCGCTTTGATAGTCCAACTGGATAACAAAATATTATCACGCTTTCATTACTCAAAAGGTCATATAGTGGTGTCACATACTTACACACTTTATATGAAAAAATTGTGTCAGTTGATTGATCCAATAAGTTCCAGCTCGGTTGGAACTGATTTTTTATCATTAACTCGCAACAGTCTTATTTTTTTATGTAATAGGTCGGCAAACAAGCAGACGGATTACCTGATGGTAAGCAATCAGCGCCGCCCATGTACACCCGCAACGGAGGAGTTACGAGTGCGTTGCCGACCTTTTAGGGATTTGGAGATTAGGGATTGAGGAGGGATTGCGGGAGGAGAAGGATTGGGCCTCCGATAACCTCACTCACACGGCGAAAGACAATGCTGTGGTTGTTTCGCTTTCAGTTCCTCCTTCATATGGATAATCAAGAATTTCTTGTTCGACAGTCATGTCTGTAACCATTCAACCAATAGTTCCATAATTTGATATTAATGGATGTATCGGTACCAACAAAATGGAGATCATGTATGTACCTACACGGAAACAAACAGTGACCATCACAGCAACCTATAGAAAAGTTCATTTGTTAGGATTTTGACTTTATCAGTTTGTAACAAAGTCGAAATTTTATTGAAATGTTTTGATGCGGCGTTGCTACTGTAATGTATTTCACGTATTTGCTCCTGGTTTTGAGGAAATGCCTACAAAGGGTTTGATCCTTTGAGAGGTATTTCATACGCATATTGCGATTTAAAAAGGTACTAGGGAAAATGCTAAAGATAAAGCTGTCCTTCAGACCGGTTCATGAAACACGTGTATTCTGACGTAAGATCAAGTGTTTTCAGCAGAATCGCTAAGGAGTGCCTGTGCCTATATTCTGTCTTTTCCGAAGGGTACTTTAACATGGCATTCTTCAAGGTCCGAGAATATAGGCTTAAGGGTAGTGCTCAATATATAAATAAATAAGTATGTCGATTTTTAATGGTAACCTTACCACACAGTCATGCATAATCTTATACAACTGATATTGGGAAATTGGAAAGCTTCCCAATCAAGGCGAGTACCTAGTTAACCTCATTTATTTCAACGTGAACCGGGAATGGTATTATTTGCTGATGACACATCGTTGATTTTTAAAATAAATAGACGGACAGATAATTATGACGACGTAAATAATGCTATTACGAAGGTTCATAATTGGTTTACAGTTAATAATTTAGTCCTAAACGACAAAAAGACAAAGTGTATACGATTCA